CTTACGCACAGTCAGAAAAAAAACTATCGTTACCCTTGCACAAACTAATATGAAAAATCGACGAAGTGGTTTGAAATTGAGAGGCAAGTTAATTAACACAGGAATCCGGTGTTAACAGAGAGAAGCGTTTAGTTCCTCATTGAACGCTAGTAAAGGTAAAGATGGTTTTTTTTCTTGACTATATATCCATCCATTTACATGCATCAACCCCCATCCCCAACATCACTCTCAAAAACAACCCCCAGTAACCTCCAGAAACATTAATAAACCACCTCACCCAACCAGCCAACCGAACTACCTCCCTCCAACCTCTGTTTTTTTTTTTCCTTCAAACCAACATCCCCAATCACTACCACCCGCAAAACCCCCACTACCTCCTACCCCCACCAACTCCATCATCCCCCACCACAACTAACCCCACCACCACCACCAACCCCCACTACTTCCCACCACCAACTCCCACTACCCCCCACCACCAACCCCCACTACCCCCACCAACCCCCCAACCCTCTCAAACCAACCAATCTAACCCCTCCCCCCTCTCTCTCCCTCTCTCCCCCCCGCCAGGTAAGTGCCTCAACCACAGCGACGGCTCCTACGCCTGCGACTGCCTCCACGGGTTCTACGGCCAGAACTGTTCGCGGATCGACCCCTGCGCCGCCGTCTCGTCGAACCCCTGCCATAACGGGGGTTCTTGCGTCAGGTAGGGTTCTAAAGGGGTTTCGGTTATTGGGGGAAGAGTGGGGGTGGGGGGGAGGGTGGGGGGGGAGGGTGGGGGTTGGGGGGTGGTGGGTAGGTAGGGTTCTCTAGGGGTTTCATTTATTGGGGGGTGGGAAGAGTGGGGGTGGTGGGGGTTGGGGGGTGGTGGGTAGGTAGGGTTCTAAAGGGGTTTCGTTTATTGGGGGGGGGGGTAGGGGGGGAAGGTGGGGGGGGGGGGGGGGTTGGGGGTTGTTGTGAGGGGGGGGTGTTAGAAAGGAGAGAAAGTGGTTTCCCTTTCATGAATTTGGGTTTATTTTCGAGAGGGTTCGTGTAGGGTTTAAAGATAGATTGAAGAGAAGAGAAAAAGAGGGGGGGGGGGAAAGGAGAAAGAAGAGAAGAGAAAAAGAATGAAAAAAAAAGGAGAAAGAAGAGAAGAGAAATTAAATAAAAACAAAAAACGAGGTTTCCTTTCTTGAGTGTTGGGGGGGTAGGGGTATGGGGTATGGGGTATGGGGTTTCCTGGAGGGTTTATATTGGAAGGGAGAGAAAGAGGTTTCCTTTAATGAGGTTGGGTTTCCTTTCGAGGGAATTTGCAGAGGGTTTCTAGGTAAAAGAGAAAGAACAGAACAGAAAAGGAAAAAAAAAAATGAGGTTTCCTTTCTTGAGCGAATGGGGGGTGGGGGGGTGGGGGGAAGTTGGGTATTTAGAGAAAAAGGGAAGAAGAAAAAGAAAGAAAGAAAGAAATGAAGACAAAAAAAAAAGAAGAAAATAAAGAAAATAGAAAGAAATTGAGGGTTTCTAATATGACTGAGGTTTATTTTATTAGGTTTCATGATGAAAAAGAAAGGAGGAAAAGAAAAAAAAAAATCCTTTCTTAAATTAAGGATTTCATAAAAGGATAAAAGAGTGAGAAAAGAAAAAGAAAAAAAGAACAAGATTTCATGGGTATTGAAAGAAAGAAGGAAGAAAGGGAGAAAAAGGGGAGAAGGAAGAAAAGGAGAAAAAGGGGAGAAAGAAAGAAGGAAGAAAAGGAGAAAAAGGGGAGAAAGAAAAAAATAAAGATAAAGAAAGAGAGAAAAACAGAGAAAGAAAAAAGAAAGAGAAAGGGAGAAATAAAGAAAGAGAGAAAGGGAGAAATAAAGAAAGAGAGAAAGAAGGAGACGGGGAGGAAGAGATAATTATTGATGTTTCTCTCTTTCTTCCTTTTCTCACCGACAACAAAACAAAGAGATTATGGAATAATTTCAATGAATCATATTTATAGAAGAAAATAGTAATATAAAGCAAACTAATTATAATAATTTGCATTTTATTAGAGTTTTCATAAGACTTCATTCCAGTATAAAATAACTTCAAAGTCAGTGAATAACAATAAAGCAGAAAAAGTGCACTTTATATTTGGAAAACCTTTCTTAATTCTAAAAGACGAATGATAAATATTTCATAAATTCACAGCACTGAAACTTTTTTTTTAAATGATAATGCAAAATAATTCATGGGTTGGAAATTCGTAAAAAAAATATATATTTTTATTTTTTTTTTTTTTTTTTTCTTTTTTTATTCAAAAAGCGAAAATGTCAGTATTTTATATCGCTAAAAAGGTAACATTAAACACATATACTTGAGTGCATCATATTTTTAATTAAAATCTGACACGCCTGTACATGTAAATTTTATCATATTTGAAGAATATTTTTAATTAGAATTTGACACACTTGTACATGTAAATCTTAAAGCTTTTTTTCTGTACAGTTTGTTGAGATTAAAACATATTTGTCTCATGTTCCCAATACTTTGTCCTGTTTTTTTATGCAAATTAATTTCTAATTTTATGTTGCAGGGTCATTGAGCCAGCTCATTTTGAATTGCTGATTATAGTTTTTGAATTATTTAAATTAAGTTCCGCTGTAAAATAGTTATAATAATAATAAAATAAATCTAAATATTTTAATAATATTTTCCTGTATCCATCATTATAATTCACACTTTAAATATATAAAAATAGTTGGCACAATGAACCACTTATATTGTCATAGTATATTACTTAACCCCCCCCCCCCCCGCAAAGTACAATACCATATACTGTGTATATATCCCCGGTATATATATATAATTCATAGGATACCAACCATCTCTTTAATAAACACCAATATATACCAGTATATGAACTTTCTCAACATTTAAAAATAAAAATACATTAACAGACACAATTTTTTCTTCGTTGTTTTCCTTTTATAATTCTACACAGACGGCCAGCCAGTCCACAATCTCACGTGCGGTAAGGGTTATTATCCAATCTGTAAATGTAGTAATTTGTTCCTTATTGTCTGCACCTGCCTTGCTGCCCGCCAACCTCACTCCTTCAGCATTAATGTTGCCAGATGTAGATCGTGTTGTTTTAGCGTCGTTGGTGTTATTGTTGTTATTATTATCATCGTCATAATCAGTATTATTAGTATTGTCATTTATCATTATTATTATTATTACTATTATTATTATATTAATTGTTATTATTATTGTTATTATCATAATCATATCATAAGAATCATTATTAACACTATTGTTGTTATTATTATTATCAATATTATTATTATTATTATTATTATTATTATTATCATTTTCATTAATACTATTATTATCATCATTAGTTAAGTGTTGATGTATAGCCTAACATTGCGTAGTAAATTTTCGACGATTTTATTTTAGTTCTTCAGTTTATTTTATTTAGTTTCTTGATGGTCACGAGTAATGAAACTAAAACTCACTTAAATATCTTTTTTTAATGTATTGTAATATCGCTTTTTTATCAGAAGATGGATACAAAAAATATAGATATTTATAATTTACATCACGAAACAAAATCACAAGAAAACACAAACCACATTAAGAAAGCTGCAAGCTGATTAAAATCCACTAACGCCACATTTCAGATTTAAAAAGTGTATATATGATTTACAAATTCTCATTTCATTTTCTGTCCGCACTATGCAGGTATTTTTTCTCTCTCTTCTGTTTTAGTTCACGTGCATGAGAAACACACACGTAACATGCAATTTACCTTTGTAGTTTCTTGTGTAGTATTGTAAAATTCTTGTCTCTTTTATTTAATTGTATATTATTTTTCTTTCTATGTTCGTTCAGCTGTCACTCTGTAGAAAGCGTAGTAGTCTATAACACTATATTTTTTTCTCTAATATTTTTGAACACTTTTTTTGGCACCGCTGGGTTTTTCGTAGCTATGGTGCAGTTCCCTCCGCATGCAAATTCACCAGGGTTTTGCCAGTATCAAGCTCCATTTTCAAATCTTGGAATAAGTAAATGAGCAAATATTAGCTAATAAGTAAATATTAGTAATTGCGTTGCTAGACATTTGGAACCGCGGGTTACGTTCCTTGAGAGGCCCAGTTATACATACATACATATATATATATATATGTATATATATATATATATATATATATATATATATATATATACATGTATATATATATATATATATATATATATATATATATATATATATATATATATATATATATATATTTCAGGTATGATTTAAAAGAAATGGATAACAAATTAAGACCATCGCTTTTGTTTTTCCATGAAATAGATTCATTAAAACTTACCAAGGGTTCCCACAAGTCATTGTTATGGGTTGCGAGTCGAAACGTTATTCGCACACTAGCAACGCTCGGTAGTGAATTGGAAACAATAAGACATTTTATGGAGTTATTCAAGTCTCATACATGTCTAGTATAAGTTTCGAACCACCAGTTTCGACTCTTGTGTCCGAAAGAGATGCATCGTTACGCGTTTCGAATGCGAGGCGAAGCACTATTCGCACACTGGCAACGCGCGATGGTGAATTTGAAATTAGTAAAAAGGAACTGTACGTCTTTCCTTTCTTATCTTATTTTTTTTGGATTGCCAGGGTGAATTATTCGAATTTATAACAGGTTTATTTCGCTTGTAATAAGTTATAAAGTGTTGCATTTGGAGTATCTATATGGTAATATTTTCTTTCTATCTCTATATTTTTTCCTCTTTTCATAACGATTAATGAACTAATTTAGATTATTATTTTCACTTATTTTTATTCAGTATATATCATATTTTGAGGCAGATCAATGAGATATACAATGATATATATTGTATTTTCAGTACATTTTTTTTACATGTACAATTTACTTGTATCAATGCCCTAGTTCATGGCTTCTGTTTTTTTTTTCTTCTTTTTATATATCATAATGCTTATGCCAGATTGCCAAGGCATTTTTTTCAATTTTCAATGCATTTTTTCT